ATTCTTTCTTGAAGCTTTCATTTTAGAGGATTTTAAATTTACTAATTCCAGTAAGCAAAATACTCTATGGTGCATTTCAAACAGAAATTATATTGATTGAAATTGATTGTTGTTTTTTTTTTTTATTAAAACTCGATAAAAACAGTCATTACATTTGTAAAAAACATGTTAACTCTCAGTTTTAAAAATCTTGCAAAAATAAATATATATTTCTAAAATGTTATTTAAGGAAAATTATCAAATTTGAAGTTAAATTAATCTGATTTGAAACAAATATTACTTACTTATGGCATAAAATGTTGTATACAAGCATTTCTCAATCATAGGGTCTTGTTTTTCTGACATGTAATTGATTTATTGATAGCCAAACATGTTCATAGTTAAGCATGGAGCAGATGATAAAGTTTATGAGGATTCGCCCCCCGCCCCCAAGTAACTGGGGACAACACTTAAAAGGCATGACTTTTAAGGATAATTTTATAGGTCTGAACATCCATACTTTGAAATTCTGCACGTATATCACACATACAAAAACAAATCAAAATTCTTTTAAAAATATTTGAAGTTGTCAAATTATAATAAGCTCTACAATATATGATTAGTAAATATAGTCTTACTTGATAACAATATTTCCTCAGTGTTATCAAATTGAAATTTAAGAGATTTAAAAACTTTATAAATAATTCAATTTAAAATTGTAAAAAATGAAAACAAATCTTGTAAAAATTCATTTTTCAGCGAAAAAAATTTTCTTAGTTTTATTACATTTTTTATTTTCGATTCAGAACAGATTTTCGGTGAGATGGAGTCTGATTTGGAAAAAAATTCAGCGATTTAAATTCTTCAAAAAATTCTGCTTTTAACTAATATAGTCATTAAAAATTATAACATTGAATTTCTCAAAGTTTTCATAAAATTAAGTAAGGGGGCGAAACACATGTTAAAAAAATTTTTACCAAGATTTTCTACTAAAAAAAATTTTTTAAATAATTTTATTCATTTGTGAATAAGTCCTGAAAATTTCATTAAAATTCAACAATTATTTCATTTTTGTAAAAATTCCCAAATTAATGTCTTTGTCACCACAAAAAAGAAGCTAAAATTTGCTATGCTAAAAGTTAGTACATTCACTGATGCAAGAAAAACAATTTTTTTTTTTTTAATCAAAATTTCAAATGTTCTAAAAAGGACTAAAAAATTTAATTAAATATCAAAAAAAATACTTTGATCCTTCCTCTTAATAATAATAGATTTTGGTGATAAAACTGTTTTCATCATGGTATTCTAATTTTTTAGCAAGTTCATGGAGGTATATATATATATATATATATATATGAGGCAGGCTGGTGTAATGGATAGCAGCTTGGATTGAGGAATCAGAGAGCCAAGTTTGAATTGCAGTCATGCTTGTTACATTCACTTTATACAACTTGGGAATGGTATGAATCCATCTCTTCTCCCCCACCTCCCAGCTATGGGTAAAATAGTAGGACAGACTGGGCCATATAGCCTTGAGTGGCAACCAGTCTAGAAGGACAACTCTGAATTCAAAAACTAGAGAAGTGTCATTTGGGGACCTTGTGGCACAGTATGTGCACCAGTTCTCTGCATTTGGCTCTTCCAAAAGGTATGGTGGCTTCTGCACAAGCATTTACGACGATAATCAAATCCTATGTGCGAGAAGTCTGTGTGTTTGGTTCTAAGTACCAAGTTACTGTGCCCACATATGTCAAAAACAACAAGAGAGTCCAGTGTGCGTGTATGTGTCTATATATATATATATATATATATATATATATATATACACACACACACACACCATGTGACTGTAAAATCTCTTGTTCTTTTATTTTGAGCAGTCAATATAATAAAACTGGCTGACTGAGCAAAAAAAATGTTTCTTTTTCTTTTAAACAAGGTTAATTATCCAATTAATCTGAATTTGCTTTGGAATGCTTATTTTTTATTGTCACATGTTCCTATATGAACATAGGAAAATGTTTTCCTTCAGCTGATTTTCACGAGCATAAATATAGAACTGAAGTCACTATCAGAATTACTCATTAACCACTAAGCTGGCCAAAGCAAAAAAACCTTTGTCTGAAACAAAGAAAAAAATAGTTTGTTGGAGGAGTGTATCAACAGAAGTCAACATTGACACATGTTGTTAATAGAAAAATGGTAGTTTTCAATGGACAAAGAAAGGAGTGGTTTTAACATAACATCTGAACTGAAGCAACTCTTACAATCCATGATAATGATAACAATAGCTGTTTCCTCATAAGGAAACATTCAGCATTCATTGACCAAACATCCAGCACTGCTGTCAGCTGAAATTTATAAACTCTTTCTCTCAAAATAATTTTTTAGGAAAATAGATTTCTCAAGCCCAGAAACTGTTAACACTCTTTCCAGGATGGGAGTTTCCTTCCTCACCTTTTATTTGAAGTAGTGTGGAATGTTGACATCTTCATTATGTCATTATTTTCTCTTCAAGTTACATGTGCTATCCATTTTAGTTGTTGCTACTGTTGATAGTCCTCCAGTGATTTGATTTATATTATTTGATATAGTTCTTTGTGATTGAACCTTGTCATCTGGAACTATACAAAGAAAGATGGTCTTCACTGAGAACCATATGTTTCACTCATTCAAAGCCATTTTTAAGCATTCCTCCAAGAAACCAATTGCATACACATAAGAGTTTAGATATTTCTGAATGGGTTTGGCATCATGCATGACATCCATATGAAAGTCTTGACCTGATGAAACTCTTTAAGAACATGATTTGAGCTTTCTGGTTAATAATTGTGATTTTGGAGAAAGTGAGATATTTTTGTTAAGTTCAATTTAGATTCTTTGTTCAATCCAACTCTTAGTACATATTCATAATACTTTAAGCCTTTATAAGTAGAGCTAATTAATTGAGGATAATATTGTTGCCATAGTTAGTATAAAAAACATGAGAGTCATATGGCCATTAAATGGATAGAGATAAAAATAATAGCAAACTGAGTGTCTAGCAAAAAAGAGTTTCATTTTTTTGCCGCTTATGATAACCCTGTAGACAAGGTAGAGTGTTATTTACAAGTATCTCTCTATAAAGAGTCAGGAATGATCTATATTCAAGCTGAAAAAAAAATATTTTCAATGTTTGAAAGCAGAATTTGAATTGCTTATTTGAAAGCTTATCAAAAACAAGCTGCTGTTGTGCATAAAAAAAAAAAAAATGAAAATCTTTAATAGTTCTGCATAGCATTCTAACTAGCACACCAAAAAAAAAAAAAGCTACAAAATCTAAGCTTAATACAGTACAAAACTGTACACTATATTCTACAAAGAGAAACATGAAAAAAAAATAGCAAAAGAGTACATGGCAAGCTACAAATATGGCACTTTGAATACAGTCACCATAGATGGTACTAAAGGCAGCTAGTAAGCAATTATCACTACATAAACTAATAATCTAGGAATTGAACCTCGATAACTTTGTAAAAAATAAAAGAGATATTTAAATCATTAAATACATAAAATATTGAGGGGTGGGGAATGCAGTTGAGCCTTTATTTCACAGATCATAAAATATGGCAAGAAAATCCAATAACAAATGTATCCAGAGACAACATTAGGGAAAATAAATACTGCATTTGAATGTGAACCATTGATTTAAAGGGTTTCCCCACAATGTTTTTCTTTTAAACAATGATCTTTATTAAAACCTATAACTGTTACTTGTTATTACTACAGTGAAATAACAAGCTTTGGGATATTCTAAAAACATAGTCCTGTTTGCAACAAATACAGTTTGAAGATTTTATCCTTTATTTTCATGAATACTTTTCTTTATATATTACCTTGTAAGATTATTTTTGCCACTTGATGATGATGGTCACAAGTACTCAAAACATGGGATATAATTTCAATCTACTACTTTACTTATTCAACACCAGGAGAAACTAATCAAAAGCATTAACAGACATTCCTTGTCCATTTTATTTAATAAAACATGTATAAATTAAGGACTCTTGTTGATGTAATGCCATGCCACGTAAAAGATTTATGCCTCTTTGCCAGGGTCTGATGCATCAGTGAGTGATACTAGCAGTGACTCCTTAGAAATTGAAAGATTAGTAGAGATTAGTGACATTACTAATGCATCTATAGAAGAAAGTGATCCAGGACTTGCTACTCACATGGGAAGCAATTTGTCCGGAGATGAAACGATAGTCCTGCCGCTGAGAAAAAGCATACAAGTAACAAGACCTACCCCTGGTTGTCACTTATGTGACATAGGAGAGTGTAGTGAACACCTAAATGATCATCCTCAAAAACAAACCAGCGTCATGTGCATCATTTTCCAAGGAAAAAGTGTAAAAGCCAGCCAGAAAAAGAAAGTGACAACAATGCTTACCCGAATAAACAACGTTCCACATGTTGGCCTGTCCAAAAGAAAAATGATGCTCTCCACCTGTTTTACGCTACCCAGTTTGCAAACTAGCTCCAATTTTCAATCCATTCAACCACTGATGTGTAGCCATCAAATTCTGGAATAAGTCGCGTGTGATGCAGGTTTGTTTTTGAGGATGTTCATTTAGGCGTTCACAACACTTTCCAAACAAGTTTTGTTAAATACCACCGACAAAGTTTGTTTATTCAACTTTTTGTTTTGCCAATTTCTGAATCAGCTGTATATCTGGATAAAACTTATTAATAAATTGTTTTGATGGATTCATTTTCTATGGCTTAGCCAATTGCAAGTTATTTAAAGCCAGAAAATATTTTTAGACTGTAATTTTTTTTTGGGGGGGGGCGGATAATAATGACTAACTGATACAAGTCTTACTAATTAACTCTTAGCTGGTGGGGATAAGTAGAAGATTAATACCTTTCCAAGGGTATTTGCATGTAAGTGAATATAACGAACCCAACAGGAATTGGAACTTGGCTCCCTGATTCAGAATTCTGATACATAATTCATTATGCCACCCACATATCCAAACTTACAGCACCTGGTATTCCCAAGCAGTCACCCATCTAGGTACTGACAAGGCTCAATGTTGTTTAACTTCAGTGATCATACGGGAACTGGTATTTCAATGCGATATAACCATAAGCCTAAATAAATAAATTGTCCAAGGTGTATGTGTGTGATATTTAAGTAGTTTTGACTATCATAGTCAATATTAAAAAAGCATGTAAGTGTTTGATACATGCTTTCCCACTGGACCATTGCAAATGACATCACTTCAACTGACTTCAATTCTAATTTCAGTAATCTAAAAAACACTAGAATTTAGTCAAATCTTGCTTATCATCCTGATAACTCCTGGTTCTTGACAATGACCATAATAGTCAAAAGTACTTAAACATAATACAAAAATATTACCATTGGCCAATAAACATTGTCAGTGGTATTTAATAAAACTTATTTGGATGAATTCTTGAGATATATATATATATATATATATATATATATATATATATATATATATATATATATATATATACACACACAATGATCAGCACTTCACAGAAGACAAGACCAGTCTGTCAATACTGAAAGAGGAGGTTGAGTTGACAGTAAGAAGCTTGAAACCTAACAAATCACCCCGAGTGGATAATATTCCCTTTGAGCTGATAAAACATAGAAATGAAGAAACCATCAAAGTCATAATATCACTATGTCAAGATTTGTAAATGAAATAAGTGGCCTACCAAGTGGACTCACTCATTAGTAATACCTCTGCCAAAGAAAGGAAGTCTTAATCAGTGTCAAAATTATAAAACAATAAGCCTGATCAGTCATCCTATTAAAGTCCTGCTCCATATCATTTTGAAACATTTGAAATCCAATGCTAAAGAACTGCTATCAGAGGAAGAAGTAGATTTTAGAACCAGACAAAGTACAATGGAAAAGGTCTTCAGTTATAGGTTCCTTGTAGAGAAACATCTACAACATCAGAAGGATATGTTCCACAACTTTATAGACTTCAAGAAAGCATTTGATTGTGTATGGCATGATGGTCTTTGGCAAATTTTAGAATGCAATGTAGATAATGGAATTTTCCAAGTCATCTTGTCCCTATATAAAAATGCCAGACAACTGTCAGCATGAGATAGGGATGCATAAATTCACCCACATTGTTCAACCTATTTCTAGAGAGAATCATGCAAGAAACCTTAAAAGACCATCATCCTTCAATCTCTATCAGTGGTAGACCCGTCTGCAACCTACATTTTGTAGACAACATTGATCTCATAGTAGTAGTAACAGTGACTTGACCAACAAACTTTTTGAAAGAGCAGGAGCATATGGAATGGAGGTCAGCTCAGAGAAATTCAAAGTAATGGTCAATAGCACAAACAGTAACACCTGTGTCAAACATTACCATGAATAGGAATTCACTGGAGGAAGTGTCCAGTTTTAAATACTTGGGAGCAATCTTGTCTAAAGATGGTACCTCCAGCTCAGAAATCCGCAGCGATGGCTAAATTTGCAAGAATATGGAGGGAGCAAAATCAGCTTTCAAAGTACAGACTATACAAATCACTGGTAGTCTCCATTCTCCTATATGGATGTGGACACTTGGCAGAAACAAAGAGAAGGATTCAAGCATTTGAGAACAAATGCATGAGAAACCACCTTGTCATCTTCTATTGGGAACATAAAACCAATGATTCTCTGTGGAAAAAGGTTGAAAGTTTTGTGGGTAACCACTTTTCTCATCACTGTCAAATGGAGAAAAATGGTGTGGTTTGACAGTCATCATGCAAGGCACTGTTGAAGGTGAATGTAGGAGAGGACACCAACACAAAAACTGGTTGGACAATGTCAAACAATGGACAGGTATGACTATACCAGAATTGCTGATGGTTGCTGTTGACAGACTGTTGTGGAAAAGATTCAATATGGCTTCTGCATTTGGATCCTCACTACGATTAAAAAATTCAAGGCAATTCAAGGCGATGACGATATATATATATATATATATATATATATATATATATATTTGAGTATAATGCCAGTTTTTTTTTGTTTTTTAATTCAGAGGTTGTGCTATACATGAAGTAGACTTATACACGAGTATATTATGTGTATGCGTGGACATTGAGGTCAGCACCCAGTGGTGACAGCCTGTTTTACACTTAAATGCAAACTTGACTGTTCAATGTCCACTTTTATATATAAATATGCTTTAAAACACACACACATTAGTAAGATGATAAATTACACATTATAAACATTAGATAGTATTACATATAAGTCCAAGTAAGCCAGGTTTAATTTTTGAAATATTTAAAATTTTATCATTCTTTCCTGCCATGCACGATACATGCTTGAGTGATCAGGTCTTTTTGCCTTTCATGATTGACTTGGCAGAAGGATTCCTGCAGTAGGCAGTTGTTACTTTCTACAGTAGACTGGTTGCCAACCAAATGTATAGGATGCAGTCTGGACTACTATTTAACCCATAGCTAGAAGGGGAAGAGATGGAATCATACCTTTCATCAGGGTATTTGCACAGGAGTGCATGTAATGGACTCTGCTGTAATTAAAACGCTGTTTTTCAGATTTCTCACTCCAAACTTATGTATTATAGCACCTGTTGTACCTGAGCAACTATCCATCTAGGTAGTGACCAAGCTTAACATTGGTGAATGGATGAAAACCCGTGTTTCAGTGTGACATGGCCATAAGTGGAAAACAAAAACAAAGTGTAATAGTTGTAAGAATACAAATCATCAAGTTTTCCCCTCTCTATCTCTTTATAGTTTTAATCAAACACCAATCTTCTGTGGCATGAATTGTTCTCCTTATAAATCATCACTTTTCTCTTCCAACTTCAACATCACAAGATTGCATTTAAAACTAGTCTATTTACATCAGGACAACCTTCAAAAGTGGTTCAACATTTTGCAGACATATCTTCCAAATAAGACCTCCCAATAGAGGAGAACAGGACTGGGTGTATGGCATGCAGCTGTGGTAAGAAATATAGAGAAACAGGTCATACCCTTAAGAACATTGTAAAGCCATAATACAAGGGGGGTGGATATAAAAAATCAGACAGGAAGGGAAAAGGGAGATCACTGTCTCCTGTGGGACAAGGTTGAAATAATAGACAAGGAACATCACTGAAAATTATGAAAAACCTAAAGAATCAACACATAAGCTAGTCCACAAAAATCTCCTAAGCTGACCAAGCATAGAAATGAATACAATATAGGAACCAGTAATATGGGGTACTATAGAAAAGCAATAATAACAAAATTGTAATAAGCTCTGGTAAAAAGGTAACTGAAACATTAGGTATACAAGTCACAAAAATTCATACACTGATATCTTCAATGGATAAAATTGTTGGTTGAATTCAATGATTTAACCCAAATAGTTGCAAGTTCAATACCTGGCTACAGCTGAAGTGAACAAAAACTTGTAGAGTTAAAGGGCGATAACTGATACAGCGACATCTGAAAGAGGCATGGCATGTCAAACTAGAACAATCTACCCAGGTGGATGAAATAAAGGGTTCAGTTCAAAATTCCAATCACCAAAAGAAAGTTGGAGTGTACAACGGCCAAAACGTTGTGAATATGGCAACAAAGATTAGGACAACAGTTCAAACAATGTAAATATTGAAAATAAGTCTATTTTCATCATGCATAGAAATAAATGTTTTGCCTTTTTATTCTTCATTATTATTTTAATCATCATCATTTGTTATCATTATTATTTTTATATTATTTTTTTACCATCATCATTTTTAGATTATTATTTTAAACAACATCATTATCATTTTCTTTTACAATCATATTTATTATTTTAATCAGCATCATTTTTTCACCATCATTTATTTTTTTTTAAAATACAATGATGTTGAATATAGAGAATAGGCTATCAGTAAAAATTACTATTACCAAAGTTTTTTATTTTAACATTTGTTCACAATTAGACGTCAGAATTAAAGAAAGTCAATCATTTCAAGAACTGTTCATGCTACTGAACTCAGTTATGTTTTTGCTGTTATCAGATTTTGGCTTATCAATTGTATAGCCTACTTCAGCTTTCTATGAAAGGATTATGTAAAAACTGGCCTTTTACTGGATTTTTATAATTTGAAAATAAGGAGAAAAATTTTTAATTGTAGACAAATGCAGACAAAATCATTGTTTCCTGTCAATAAATACAAACAAAAATGATAAATTAATTGACATTTGGTCTGTAAAATCAAGGTTCAACTGAATAGCGTAAAAATCAAATTCAGGTTTTTTTTTTTTTTTTTGAGATTTATCAGCATCTATAACTTTGAAAAGAAAAACTTTTATTCAAATGAAAAATAAAAAGGTGGAATGAAGATATTATTTGAAATTAGATAAATATTTTAAATATAAATAAAAATTTCAAACTTTTTTTTTTTTTTTCCTTTTTGTTTCTTACCCTGATCTCACATTTGCTCTTCAAACTTTTTTGTCCTCATTTTTGGTATGAATATAAACCATTGAAAGCACAAAAAGGCAAAGTGGCAGCAGGACATGAATCTTTTGTCAAGAAAAAGAAACAAGACAAATGGGAGGACTGGGCACAAAAGCACACACCAGTCATGAAAAACACTGAGCAATAGAAGAGGGGAGAAAAATAGGCAGGAATTTAAACTGAGGAGGAGAAACATGCCAGGATAAACCCCTTTTGCCTTCCCTCTCTCTGAAAGACAATCCACAGAAAAGTCAATGAAATAAAATTGAAGATTAAAAAATAAAAAATAAACTATTGTCCACAGTCCTCTACTTACAAAGGCATTGGCTCCATTTGCAAACTTTATTACTGATAGAAAAAATTTTGCAATAGTAATACAATTTTTTGTTACTTTGTTCCATGATTTTTGTCTCATCCCACTTCTCAATCCTTTGACAACATTAATAATATTTTTGATGTTGAAAATAATAAAAATAAGGTAAATTTTTGTACAGTTTTTTTTTTAAATTGTCAAAATGAGGCCAAAAGGTTGATTTTTTAATCAAGGCAAGTTTATCATGTCAGCAAATGCACCTAGAAATAAATCATAAATTTCCAATAACAGTTTTTTTTTTCTTTTGCTATTCTTATAAAAG